CACTCTCTTTTTTTTTTATCCCTTGGAGTGATTTTATGGCATTTAGGAGTCATGAAATCAAAGTGCACATGGGTGATTTTGTTCAAAGTTTTGACATGGTTTTCATTAATCCAGTCATACATGTATCTAAATGACAATGATGGATTTTGATTCCATTAAGGGCCAGGCACCAGGGAAATTAACTGACTGTGAGGTTGATATTGCCTGTCTGGTCTGACCATCTGGAGGAAGGTTTTTCTTAAAAGGAAGTTCAGTTCAACAAATTTTGACTGCCTGTGAAAACCTATTGTCTTTCTGCTGAAATTGGCAATGAAACTCCTGGGTTTGGCTGTGAAAACAAACAGGGCCACTTGAAAGAACTGATTGATAGATTTCATTGAAATGGTTCCCCACAAGGATTTCATTGACATCTGCTTATGTGATGTTTGAAAAGATTTAAAAACTGTTCATTTTTGGAAAAAAGGCAAAACTTTTGCAATAGTGCATTTTTGTTGTCATGAATACAGATAGGGAGAAATATTTTACCCTTCACTCTTTTGAAGTATTTTGTTTTGGTATCTGCTGTGCATAAAGCATGTCATTTTACATGAAGCACATTGTCTGAGAGTACAAAGCTTTGGAATGATGCCAATTTACATGAATTTTCTGACATGCAAAGGGATTTCCTCACAGCATAATTGTTGGTTTTCTAAACAGGAAGTCGTACAAAGTTTTCATTATTTAAATCATAAGGACCAATTCAAGGAAGTGATGGATTGGAAAGTAGAGAAAAACACTTGAGAATTGCTTTTGATTTTTCTCTACACTTTTTCAGCTTCCCCCAATATTCTCATGTCCTTTTACTTGTAAAAAGCACTACAATGTTAATTAGATTTTTCAATGTTTTAAGGTGTCAGTTATTAAAGAAATCAGTAAGAATGAAATAAGCAGAAATGAATAAGCAAAATGAATGAGCATTACTTAGCAAAGAGCAAAGCAACATTCTTTAGGAATGCGGTACTTAAATGTATTCTTGAAAATGCCTGTTAGTTTTTCATCTTTCGTATTGCACATATTCAAGGGTGGCACCTGAACTTTAGAATCAAGGGCAGGGGATTTTCAAGTCAATAGTTATGATATTTACAGTATTATATTTGTATTTGTGTCGACGAGTGGTTGATATGTACATGTAAGTTAAAGCAAATTTGCAAGTTCCGTGCAAACGTGTGTTTGTGACCAGTTGTTTTGATTTTCTGCAGGACTGGGCCTTTGATGATGGTGCAGCACCACCTAAAGAAGTAGTCGAGGGCTGGCTGCAGTTGCTAAAAAAGAAGTTTAAAGAAAAACCAGGATCTTGTATTGCTGTGCATTGTGTGGCAGGGCTTGGCAGGTTAGTTTGGTTCCTTTTTGCTGACAATATATACTAGACCTTGAGATAAGCAACTGCTCTCTGTTTTCTCAGTCTGTCAGCATGAGATTAAATACATACACATGTACAAATGTAAACAAGACTAATACCCACAACTGTGCAGGTACTGACTTGCCAATTCATCTCGATGTTTTCAAGAGATTTTTGCTCTGAGTGACTTTTTTAATATTTCTTTGGACACAGACTAGTAATTAGATCTAATTATCTTTAGGTACACTTTGAATATTTTCCAAGTACTAAATACATTTTCTAGGTCTTTGAACAGCATTTACCAGGCACCCTGAGTGCTACCTTGATCATGAATTGTCACTGAAAAATGGTCTGAATTCCTGATATCCATTATCCATTACTTTTATACGAAGAAATCACTCAGGTGTATTTGACTTGGAAACAGTTTGCATATGCATCCACATGTACATGTATACTTACATGTACATGCATATTTGATTCTTGCAAGCAACAAGAAAATTCTTATCATTTACTGTTGTATCAGCTTTGTCAAAAGAGGCCAATAAATAGCAAAAATCAACATCTACATGTACTTCACAATCTTGGGCAGCAACTCCACTGGGATATTTATCTGATTCAACAGAAATAGATGGCAAATAAGTTGGCTTTCAACAACAAAGCCATCCACACTGTACTTCAAACTATATGACAACCCTGTAAATAGTAAAGGTGACACATGGATTTTATTTATTGTACACAGAGCACCAGTCCTTGTAGCACTGGCTCTTATTGAAAGTGGAATGAAGTATGAAGATGCTGTGGAATTTATCAGAAGGTACATGTACATGTATATGTCTGAATTTATAAAAACATTGTTAAAGAAATCAAGCATCAAGGTAGACAATATAAAAATTAAAAGGAATGTTGGTCTTTTTTTCCCTCGACTTTCTTATCTTCCCTTTCTTGCTCTCCTCTCTCCATTTTTTATTATTGTTATTATTATTTTTCATTGCATGGAGTGATTAAGGCCTTTTGGAGTTGTGAAGTCATACAATGTAGTGCATATGCAGGGCTGTAGTTGCCAGTAGCCTTGTTCTCCACACCTCTAGCAAACTTGTAGCTTTAATTGTGTGGCAGGTGTCTGAAGGGGAGGGCAAGGGGAAAAATGAGAGCATGAAGCACGTGAGCATCCATCCTTGAAGCGTGCTCTATCCTCCACACTCATTTTGACCCTTCCCTCCCCTTCTATGGCCTGCCACGCAGGCTAGCAAACTTGCTACTTTGTGGTTGAATTATATCAACAATGGGCAATTTTGCCCGTAGCATCAAAGGAATATCAAGCATACTCAGCTGTAACAGTTGTTACGGGTTACTGTATGACCCTTAATGACAGCCCTGCATATGGCTGTTTTGGTGCAAAGTCTAATGTGGCTTTCATAAGTTTAGCCATACATGTAATCTGAGTATTAAGCCTTTTTAGGCAGTGGAAAAGAATCCCTTCCCAGAGGGAGTAGGAACACACGTACTTCTGGTTGCTTCATGCTACAGAAACTGGGATAAGCTCCAGTAGTATGGACCACTTGTTTGCTTTATCTACATGTACATGTATGTAATTCAGTTCTATCATTTCTCTCTCTCTCTCTCTTCTTAATTTTGCAGGCGAAGACGAGGGGCAATTAATGCTAAACAACTAAGTTATCTTGAGCAGTACAAGTCTTCAAAACTGCTTAGGGAGAAAGGAGGAGCCAATTGTTGCATCCAGTAAGGCACAGGCAGCATTTAACCTTGACAACAAGAAGTAAAAATGCTGTCAATTAATTAATGTACGTGTTTTATTGTAAAGGAAGATTTCTGGATAAGTTATTTTTAGGGCTTGACTATGGAATTCTGAAGAGCCTTTTAAATAGCAGCAGATGTTTTTTCTGTCTAAGTGACCAGATGTCTATGTAGTTAGAACAGTGAAAGCAATGAATTTCTTTTCTTTGTCCATTTTTTTTTTTTATATAATAATTCGACGAACACAGAGAAGATGGTTGCCACGTGAGACTCAAATTATTATTTTAGGCGAGCTGATGGAGGCAGCTCTGTTCTAGGAGCAAAAACAGCAGCATCTACAAAGCTTTGTGACAGGTTCAATAATACAGGAATGTAAGGCAAACAAATCATAATAAAGCAGGGGAATTTCATAAAACAGAACATGGTCAATAAATTTGATAAAATTGGATGAACATCTAGTGTGAACTGTTTTCTTTTTTCTCATACTTGGCTAGTAAATAAATTTTGTATAGAGAAGACATGTAGTAACTGTCAGCTTGTAAATTAAAACATGTTTAGCAGCAGTTATCAACTGATTCAATCCTCCACCCAGGGTGTGCCTAGTCACCAATTTCTTGTTCTCCACGACAGTTTATTATAGGCTGCCAGGTTATGACAGTGTATGATCTAATCAGCTAAGAAAAAGGCTAATTCTTCCACAGAGACTTGTGTTAATTGCAGTGCTGAATGGACTTTTAGATCACTGTATCTTTCAATAGTAAACTGCCAATTAACAGTTGCATTTTACTTTGCTGTCTGTCAGATGTCATCAAAACATCAGAACAAAAAAAAAATGACCGTAATGAATTGAAAAAAGCTCATGTCTACATGTAAGTTGAGATTGGTGATTACTGGCAATACAGTTATTTGATTATTTTTTTTTTACGGGCTTATTTCATTTACGTATTGCCATAATAATTATTATGATTGACAGCAGTATAATGTGCAGCTGTTACAGGTAGGTTTTTAACTTTGAGGCTTTGCATTATTGCAAAGTGCAGTGCCACTATTTTTTCCTTCAGTTCCAAGCTGAGAATATCTAATTTCGTTATGCTCAGTATTACATAATAGTTTGAATTATTTTTCTTGAGTTATTTATTAGATTATGAGAATTTAAGACTAGAAGACAACATGATTGTACAGCTGTACCTATTTTTTCTTCTCTTTGTGTAGTTGGAAGGGAGAATTTACATGTAGCATGCTGGGGATGACCATTCTATTACCAACTTGGATTTTTACTGCCTTTTTGTTTTGTAAGAATACTGACCATCTTAACTTCAAGCAAAAGCGGCAAAATAATGTTCTTGCCTAGACTAGGTGTCCAGGTACATCTGTTAGAGGTTTCAACTGTATGCTGTTTTTTGTTTTTTTTCATTTTCATTTCTCTTACAATGTGACTACTCCGACCAACACTAGTTAAGCAAATTCTTTGCAAATTGACCACTGACAGTTTAGAAACTTGTGTTAAAATAGTTACTAATCAAAATAAGCACAGATCTGGGGCCTCTGTAATGCACAGCTTGATTTCTAACATAATTTGTCAGAAAACTATTGTTAACATCTCCAATTTTCACTAAATTTTGTTGGGCAGCCTTGGAAAGAGTAAGTCGCACCGTAAAAAGTGTTTCCATTTTAACAGTATTTGTGTAGTTTCATTAACAGTTACATGTACATGTTACAGGCATACCAGTTAGTACTATTATTGAGGTACCCAATTCCACTTGGAAATCTGCATTTTCTCAAAGAATAACTGGGAGCAATGTTTTTATTATCTGCATTACAAGGGGGTGATTAAGTTAAATAAGAGTAATTCAAAGGAAGTAGAATA